AGAACGAGAGAGGGGAAAATCTGTAAAGCAAGTCCCGAGCAGGTGAAAAAAATACTATAATCCAAATGATTTTGAAATCCTTAAAAGTTTCTTGCAGGACTCAAGTCTAAACGAAATAGAAGGGCCAGAGACAACAACTATTCCACCACCCAAGAAACAGAGAACTGAAGAGAGACCTAGCACTTCTACAAACTCGGACGTCGGTATCAAAAAGAAAAAAATAATTTCAAACTCCAGCGTTTAAGAAAACAAAAATACAGATGCACCGGTTAAAGAAACCGTGGTAAAGAGAAAAACACCACCTACAAAGGATTGCAGGAAAAATTATACATCAAGGAGAACGCGCACACGGCCACAGAGTCAGGTGCCAGCAAGGCCGCCGTTCCGGAAACTGAAACGACAACAGGAGGCACAAAAATACGACGAACAGAAGAAATTCAAGAAGGACTCCAGATCTTAGGACGTCAACACCAGCCGTCCCAGGCAGAAACGCAAAGGCCAACAACCAGACGATTACTCCGTCAAGAGGACGCAAAAGAAAAAGCAACGGGGACGACACTCGGAGATCAATAAGGAGAAGATTGACATCCATGAAACCTCTAACTTGGGATCAATTTTGCCAAAAACGGATGACGGAATTTCAAGCATCGAAAACTCAAAGATAAGTTAAAACCTTCTATAAATTTTTCTTTCTGTTTTGTTCCGAAATGTTATGCATAAGTACGAAGTTCTATGTTTTGACGAAAGTCAATATGTCTCGGTTGAGACTTAGTTTTGTTTTACTTTATTTAGCTAAGGCAAAAGTATTTTTTCTTTAAGTGTAAAAGCTAAAAAACAAGCATTTTCTGTTGGTCGAAAGACTAATTCTGTTATGTTAAAGCCAAATTTGGCCCGAAGATAAAAATAACTTCGTATTCTTGTACTAATAGAATTTTAGTTTCAGTGCCGCCCAGCTTGGCGAAGAATGAGTAAAGTAAAAATTTATTTTCTCTTATTCATTTTATGGTAAATTGTAAAAATCATATGTATTAAAATCTTGTAAATGTACGTAAATACTTGAATGTTATGTAAAAGTAGAATTTAGTCTAGAAGCATAAAATTGTAGATGCTAAAAGTGAATGCTTAAAAGCAATGAAGTCAAAATTTAAGTATTAAATTGTAGATAAAGTCATGCTTTAGAGCGAAAGTCTGCATGTTTAAAAATGAATGAGGGGGAAGTTAGAATGAATGTGTTTTGTAGGGTTCTCCACCTACATTTGAATTTTTAAGAATATTAAAGTAGCTCATTGAGTGGTATAATGTCGAGTAAGGTGTGTCTATTTGGTCGTTGAATTCTAACAAATCATGGTGGTTAGGGGAAGTGTTGTAAGACTAAAACACGAATATTCCCGTTTGACACCACACACGGTGGAGAGCCAGGGTAAAGTTAAATTAATGCTTGAAAAATTGAATGAATGTGAATTAAGCAATAACTAAGAAAAACGAATCGTTTAAAAACAAAAATTTATTGTGTCAAGAAAGTGTAAATTATAATGTATGTAGAAAGATACTGATACTTATTCCTTCCAGATGCTGGAAGGAAAGACCAAGATTGATTAATGAAGTCCAGGAAAAGTTGCTGTAAGAAGAGAAAGTTATAAGTATACACAGAATTTTAGTATACAATTTGTTACATAAGATTTTTTTGTGTAAACGAGGTTCTCGACAGTTTAGTTCAGAATTAGAGAAACTTACAACAGGTCGTTTGTAGGACCTGCTTCCAAGTTTTCCAAATTCTGGCAGCGGCAAATGTAGGGTTTATATTATTTTAACTAACATTTATTTTAAGTTTAAAACTATCTTTCCTGTCAAGCCTTACTTTCCCCTGGAACTGCCAATGCCAGAATATGTAAATTTGAGTAGAACGCGCAAGCATTCAAATTATCAGCGGAAGTATTCTGATTTAAATAGAAGGAAACGAGTTCGGTGTGATATTCTTACTTCACGAGCGCGGAGGTAGTTAGCGAGAAATTGAAGAACCCCGCGTTTCGGCCTATGTGCTTGGCGGGAAGTAGTGTTAATCGTTCAAGTGAGCTTCAAGTCTGCTGAATTAGCAGCGGTGTTGTAAAACGCGGTGAGTTAGTTATTTTAGAGAGCCTCGTAGTTAGAGTCTTGTCTTTAGTTTCTTTTCAGGTTATTATTTTTATTTGACTGCCGAGTTGGCACAGTCTGTGAGCGTCAAGAGCACGCCATTGTAATTTTTACGTTGAATAAAAAGGGACTTAAACCCTTCACAAGACTGTGTTTTATACAGTTTTCACAGTCACCTCTTGGTTGCGTGCAAGTTGGAGGCGCGCAACGTTACATACTATTTTTTGTTCTGCTTTGCACTGCTATTTTTTTCCTGCGTTAACTGCGTTGGTTCTTTCTTATTTTTATTATTCGTTACAGGTTCGTAGCTTTTTGATGTTCGGATACCAGACATACTGGAAGAGGTTTGGATAGTAACAGATCGAACTGATTTTACAACGCCGGGGGAAAACATATTTATTCGCAGTTTTGAACCTTCGGCTATCTTCCTGGCCTATTTCTTGTCACTTTGGTTGTCTGAATTTCCCTTTACGACTTCCATTTTTAGTATGACCACGGAACCGCTGCATATTTATTCTTGCAATTAACGCACGATGGTTCAGCGGTACAATTGTCCCTATCGCGACCAACCATGGAACATTAGGTGCATGTCAGGTTGCCACCACAGGACATCTTAGAATGGCCAATCTGGCATTGGGAAAATCTGATGGGGCTGGGAATATAAGGTCTTACAGGACAACTAAGGTATCCAGCCTTAATATTCTTTGGCAGATCAGGAAACTATACTGATCAACTGACCTCCCTTACATATTTAGATCCTTCTGGTAGCACAAACATTTTGCTGACTAGCTCGGAAACGAACTCTTCTTCCGAAACCAATAGAAAGTTAACATCGGAGATCATGCCTCAACAAAAGTTTAGTATTTTACGGGATGACACAATAATAGCGGTTTGCCCAAGTTTTGCTAGTTGCAGAAGGGAAGCTGATTGGGTGGCCGAAACTGTGTCAATGAACAAGTCTCCAGAACGGAGACGCTCAACGTTTCTTAGCTCACCAAAACATGAATGGATGTATTTGCTTATCAAGAATACAGAGATCTTCTGAAGATCACTAGAAGGGCTAGGTACAGCGAACAAACGAGGATAGTTTTTATGTTGAATTGCATTTCTTCGCAGTAGCTGTATCGATAGCTTCAGCTGTTGTTTCTGTTTTTGCTTCATCTGTTAGTTGCTTTATAATACAAATTGAAAATTTTTAATTAGCCGTATTTAGAAAAGAAAAGATCCGGTCCGACCGCCCCACCCACCTCGGAGCCCAACAAGGGAACACAGATTCCTAACGGACTAGCCGGACCTATATGAAAAAAAAAAAAGCCTCACAGTCGGCTTTCTCGAAAGTTTATCCTTAAGCCGACACATAGGCCGGGATACCAGTCGATTGACACCAGTGAGCACAACAAAGTGCTTCCCGTTTAGCTGAAGTAGAGGCCAAAGTATTGTGCTGGGAGCAGTACCTACCCTCCTACTACCAAAACCCTCCTTTCCAGAAACACGGGTCTCCATGTACGGCAAACACGTGGGCTGTTTTATCGTCACTCGAAATTAGGCGCAAAGACTGCATAGCATCTGATATTGAGCACCAACCTCTAAAAAGGGAAACATGCATAGAATTTTCTTAATATACAATCGCGATTCTACGACCATTTCGAAATAAAAACTTTGTCTCTCTCTTTCATCCTCCCTCCTTTTCTTTGAAAGCATAATTATTTACTTAAAATTAAGTTTTTTTATTTTACTTTCAAAGCTCGATTTATCGCAGGTGGATAATCAGAAAATATATATCATTTTGATCCAACTGTAAGACTATCTTTTCTTTAATATACTTTTCTGAAAATGATACTCATTCTGCAGCTTAACATTTAAAAAATATTTGAGATAATTTAAGGTTCATTATTTCAGGCTTAATTTAAGGTTTTAGACTTAGTCTAATTACTTTCATTAATATATCGTTAGTATATCCATCACATACATACGAGACCATTTCTTGTGAGTCTGATTTTTTCTGTGTAAAACATCTTAAAAATGTAAGGTCATCTTAAAATAAAGCATGTAATATAAAATTCATTCAGCCGACAATGTTATGTGATAAAATCTTATAAAGAGGACAATATTATCGCTAATTTCCAAATTTTCCCTTTTCTGTCCCTCAATAATACTTTTCAAATTCTGGCAGTTAGATATTTCTTTTGAGTTTTTATTTTAAATATTTTTGTAAATTTGTTTTAGAATCATTCTCTGAAATAAGTGTTACTTTAAGAAGTAGCCTTGTCTGCAAATATTAATTTTTTTAAATTAAAAGTGTAAGATATATATAATACTTTGAAATTTTCTGAGGACAGAAGATTTTGCAAGATATATATAGTTTTTAGTCTGTGTGATTCTTCTCTCTGATAATTTCTTTCACTCATTGGAGTGGGACTGATTAACGTTAGTTTTTGCGCTTAGCTAATATCTGTAATCTAATTATAATTTGTATGCTGAAAAAATTTAAAATTATAAATTATAATTTTTATATGTGTATTTGTACAGTTATATATTTCTTTCAGATGTATTTTCATTTTAGAATAGATGCTATAATATTATTTAAAATGTGAATTACCTCAACAACCACAGCAGACATTTCGAAAATTATTCTAAAAACACGAATGCCAGATTTTCTGAATTTGGTGAATTATTCTGTCATCTATATATCATATCAGAAATCTATGATTATTGGTGTAAGGTTGGGCGGATCATATTTGAAGGCCGACCTCCGGTTGAAGAGGCTGTGATGTGAGGTATGGAAGGTCGGAGCCTAGTTGCTTTTGGGTCAGTGGCCCGAGTCTTAACGAGTAACGAGCCACAAGGGTCTTAGCCGTACAGTACCGATTTTATCGGCCGACTTTCTCGCAGAGGAACAATTTTCAGGATGTGCGCATGCGCTAAAAATCTGTCATGTTCTCTGCGACGATTTCAGAGCTAGTGTTCACCGCTCACTAGCCGACGATAAAATCGGCGACTCTAGCCAATTAGATTGCTTCCAGAGATCACGTGCTTTTCTCTCTCATTTTGGAAACATGGCGCTTTTTCGTTGGAGCGAAAATCAAATTTTTCAATTGATTGATTTTTATAGAGACCATGCTGTGTTGTGGGACACAAATAACATAAATTATAAAAATAAAAAGTTAAAGGATTCCCTTATTTTGGTAAGTTATCTTCCCGTTACTTTATCATCAAATATTTTTTTATTCGTGATGAAAATTATTTTATGTTGGTTAAACAAATTACAGCTCAATTTAATACAATATTGCTCAATTTTATTAGCTGATTAACTGATATAGCAATATGATTACAGTTTTCAGAACTGTATTAGTTATTAAACTATACCGATAGTATTTTTTAATATTCAGTATGATATGCTATTTTAAGATTTTGCATATTTATATTTCTTATTTGAAATTTTTGTATTGAAATTACACTATTCCTTTCTACTATAGTAATCTTTATTCTGTATTAGTACTTTTTACTCATATTGTTGCGGTTTTCATAACATTATTGTCTATTTATTTAATAGTAAAGGTTATCATTTAAAGCACAGTAGTTATTTACTTTTTCTGAAGCATGGTTATTTTAACATTTCAGGACTTAAGCACACAAATATGCGTTCCAGAAAATGAAATTAAAAAAAAAAAATGGAGTAACCTGCGTACTCAATTTACAAAGGAGAAACATAAAGAGAAAAAAATTATACATCTGGTGCAAGCACTGCCATGCAGTACAAATCGGCATGGCAGTTTTACACATCGTTACAATTTTTAAGTGATGTCGTGTCCTTAAGGAATACTGTGACTTCTTTGGTAAGTGATTACTTTTTAAATTTATATAATTTGGCTTATAAAGTAAATAATTTCCCTTTACTATTTGAAAATTTATAGAATTGTTTTTAATATAGGCAAAACTTTAACAGTTTTTGTGATAAATAAAATAATATTGTTATACATACTTAGCTGTGTAAATTATATTAGCCAAATCTTCAAGCTCATGCAGCAGATGGGTCATCTGCAAAAGTTCACACTCACAGCAATTTCTATATAACTTCAGTACAAAAGTATTATTTTATTTATCCTTTTACAACTATGTGTGCTATTTAATTTCTTAAATGAAATCTTTATATTTAAAGACTATTCTTAAGCTCATTTACTTAAAAATAATCCCATTTCCCATTAAAGTATAGGTGCAATACCCATTAAAGTATAGGTAAAAGTGGATAGGACCAGGGCTTAATTTCTAAAATCAGAAGTGTCAGAGTTAGTAGAAGTTATATTTTGAATTTATATGAAGACCTAATCTTTTTTCCAATGAATGATATTCTATTGATAATTTCCAAAATAGCTGAGCAGTAAAACTGCTAAATAACTGGTAATTTGACCAGTGTTCGAATGCCAGCAAATAAGCTGACTGTAAGGTTGGTTTTTGTTTTTTCCTATGCAGAAACATGGATACGAGCCATTTTTCCCTAAAAATTCTTCTATGAAGCATCCCTCTCTATAGGCAGATAGTCCTTGAATTGCGTTGTCTTAATCAATTAGTCTAACATCCAGAAAAGCATATGTAATTTATTTTGAAATGAGAGTTAAGGTACTTAAATTTCTCTTCGTAAGTCTATTTTGGTACTCATGTATTAACACAACCACCTTGTCACATATTTGGTGGTCTTTATAAATGTAAAGGTAAAAATTACTTACTGGTACAAGTTAGTGGTTTTTATGACTTTTTTTTTAAAAAAAACCATTCCCAAATATCTGATAGTAAGTCAGCAAAGTATTATCGACCTACCGAAAAAAGCCGAAAAATCTAAACATGAATTTTAATTATTAAGTAAAAATTATATGATACATTAAAAAATAGGTTCTTACATGTTATCACAAGCACTTTAGTACAAGCTCTTTTAAATTTCCAGAATGTGCTAAAATCTGTCGACCATGAGCATAACAATACTTTAGGCAACCATGCTCATAAACATTCCTTCAGTCAAGCAACATTACCCTCATTCTTTTTCATTTATAAAAATTTGCCAAACTTGAGGTGATTACGCTAATATGTTAAGTACTAAAAAATAAAACACTTATGAATTTGCAAAATACTTCTCTAACTTTTAGCGTTATTCTTTTCTCCATGTACACAGTGATCTGTTTTCACTTAAAAAACCAATAAATTGCATAAACTTGTACTGCACATCAACTGTTTACCAAACACATCTCATCGCTGTTTGCGTTAACGGTTTTGTGACAAAATACTATATTCTGCAGAATTTTTACTGCAGTTTCTTCCATTGCTGGCAGATTCCACAAGTGATATTTTAAAAGTAAGTTAAAGGTTCCCAACTCCCCCAAAAAAAAATTACGATGTCTGTCAAAATCATTAGAATTCCAAATACAACAAAAATAAACAATTGAAACATTGCTTGACTGAAGGATTTTTATGAACAAGGTTGCCTGTGAAATTTTTATGTGCAGAGTATGGCAATTTTTATTAAGGTGGTTGAGATAATATGTGACTACCTCTAATTTTAAAATATTAATAGAGAAACATGAATTCTTATTGCATTTTAAGTAATTATTACTATCAAAATCTTACTCATATTGTTCAAGTTTTTACAAGTAAATGAAGTCCAACTCCGCTTCACATTGAAAAGTTATAAAAATATGGGATGTACATGCACAGATACTGTTCTTTTAAAAACACTCAAATTATTTCTTTTTACTGTAGTAATTATTAGCTTTGCTTTCTTCTCAGTTTATATATATATATATATTGTAATATTATATATATATATATATATACCATTTTCATGATAAAATAAACTTATATTCACAGCTAAATCAGACATAAGTTAGTCAATATTTTGTTACTTTTAACATACTTAAACATAAGCATTAACTTCTTATATATTTTCTTTTAAATATATGTATTGCATGTTTTTATTGATACCAAATACGCTACAACTTAGACAGCAGAATTACGAGGTTTTTTCGTATTCTTATTCAAGATATTTGACTATTCAACTTTGATATCTCTTGAAAAATCAAGCTTAGGAAATATATTCATTATCCTTATAAATATTTATTTCTGCATGTTTTCCCATAGCTTGTTAATTATGATTTGTTATATATGAATGAATGATAGCTGTAATAGTAAAAATTAAAGTGTTATTTTAATTTTCAGGATTTTAATGATACTAGTACACAAGAAAGAAGTGCAGAAGTTACCAGTCATTCTGAGGAGATGTTTGACATGAACGATTTTGAAGACACTGAAGAGACACAGAGAGAACTATGTCATACACAAACACTACCACAGCTAAAAAGACACACATCAAACACTACAACTTCAAACAAAAAAAACAGAAACACGATCACATTTACACAGCAGCCACAACAACACTTGAAGAAATTTCTACAATATTAAAATCAAAAAAACACTACTCCAAATACATTTACACAGTTCGGTTCCTTTGTTGGTTCCGAACTAAGTCTAATCCGTGACCCTCAACTCCTCACAGACACAAAATATAAAATATACCAAATTCTCACAGATGCACAGACAGAACAAAATGTATTAGATTCCATGAACAACACAGAATAAATAAGAAACTTAGATATATTTATTACTTACCACATTATTTTGTAACATAAAATAAAAATACTTATAAATAATCTTTATTTCTTTATCTTTTATTATAACACATATTGAGAAATCAGGGAACATAAATTGAATAACATATATTGAGAAATTAATAATATTTTATAAATTTATCTTGCCATGCAACTTTTCCTTCATTATTTACATAATCACAAATTTTTTCTCGCATTAGCCTTGCTTCAGCAGACCCTGTGTTATAACCATTTTGTTTACACAGGGATTTCATCTTACTTAGCGATTCCTCATTTCGCCATGATCCAGGTATAAAATTAAAGTCCTCATCTTCATGATCGATTAGTTCTCTTGGTGTATACAATTGCCTGGACGGTCTTTCTCGTAGAAAGTTATGCAAACAGCAACATACAGAAACAATTTTATCAACTGTCGCAGGAGGCAGCTGTATTGGTTGCATCAAGATACGAAATCTATTTGATAATATCCCGAATGCATTTTCAACAACACGCCTTGCCCTGGACAGTCGATAATTGAAAATCCTTTGCTGAGGAGAGATATTTTTACCAGGATATGGCCTCATCAGATAACATTTCAAAGGAAACGCCTCATCTGCAACCATAAAATAATTCACAGGCTCACTACCTGGAATCAAAGGTGTTGGGCTGGGCAGATCAAGCAAGTTATTGTCTAGCATCGAAAATAAACTTGTTTGGGCAAAAACTCCTCCGTCTGATATTCGTCCATTACATCCAACATCAATAAATGTAAATTTATAATCTGCATCAACTGATGCCATCAGCACAATGCTGTTGAAACTTTTATAATTGTAAAAAGTGCTGCCACCCCCCCTGCTGGTGCTTTTATCATAACGTGTTTTCCATCGATGGCACCAACACAGTGTGGCAGGTTCCACTTTTCAGCAAAAGCTTCTTCTATGGCTTTCCACTCCTGAGCAGTGTTTGGTGTCTACGAAATGAGAAAATAAGTATTAATTATGAAACTGAAAAAAGGATGCGAATACAAAATATAAATGCAGAAAATGCTATTTGAATATTGGCAAATAGTAAAATCAAATATTTTATCAACGAATATTAGCTACTCATTTGTTATAATAAAATTCACATCAAAGAAATAGATAAAAAAATGTGCTTATATATTTTGGTTGTGTTCCTATGTTTCACTTTTTATCTAATTTTTCCCCCCATTTTTTTCTCTCTTGTTTTTGATTAAGCTACACCATAGATTCTATTTAAAGTTTTTAAAGTAATGAATGTGTCAGATACAATAAATGGAATTAAAGCTAAGTGACTGTGGGTAAATGAATGTTTTTGATCACAATACCCATACAGACAGAAAAACTGATAATTTTTGGAAAATAAATGATTAAAAAATAAGCTGTTGTTGTACAAACAATAATACAATAAACAAAAAGGGCTTATGCTTGTTTGTACACAGAAAACAGAATTTTCATTTAAACAAGATGTTTAAACATTTTATAACTGAATATATATGCTTCTTAATTTGAAGAAAACTCAAAACTAAAAGTGTCTATTGAAGAATTTTGGATGAACCCATAGGTGGTCAATTTAGCAGATTCATTATGTGTTTTATACAGGGTTGATACTAGGTTGTCAATTTGCTGTCCAATGCAATCTCTGCAGTTCCTACATTCTATTGCTAGATGCCTCCCTAATTATAAAACAATGTTTATTATGATTTTTCCAAAATCAAATAATCATATCTCTTCTTATAAATGAAAATTTTATTTAAATATACTGAAAAGCATAAACAACATTATGACAGACATTCCCATTGAAAATGGTTCATTCTAGAATTTGAGTCAAATTATAATCTAGAGCATGGACCAACAAACTGGTGCCTGCAAAACAATTGTTAAAATTTTAAGAAGCTGACGAGATATTTTAATGTTGAGTGGGAAAAACAATTTCATTTATAACTTAAAATTATTTTCTTAAACTGTTGGTCGCGACCCCATTGGAGGTCGCCAAAACATTTTAGCAGTTTTTGATAATCCTTTAACTTATTCCAATAATTTTACAATTACCAAATATTTTTACACAATGTATCTGAAAATAGATAAAGATAAGGCAATACATAAAGTTCTCTTTCTAACTGAACAAAAATCTGATTTTGCGAATTTAATTCATAATAAGTTATGGCTACAAAAGCTGCATTATTTGAGTGACATATTTGAAAAACTAAATGATCTAAATTTGTCGTTTCAAGAAAAAGGTTGCAACATAGTCATATTCAAATTAAAAATTGATGCTTTATTAAGAAAATGACCATATGGAAAACTATGATGGAAAATTTGTTAGAAATGTTTGTCGCAACAACTGAATTTTTAAATGAAAATGATGAAATAGATAAATCAAAAAGATGACTTGTTGAAAAAAATGATCTGAATGAACATCTTCGATGTCTTGAGAAAAACTTTAAGAAATATTTCCCTTCAAATTTTAGTGTCAAAGAACTAATATGGATTGTGAAACTATTTAGAATTAATGTGGAAAATATTACTCATTTGCCATTAAAATCACAAGAAGAACTTGCTGATTTATCAAATAATTCGGGATTGAAACTTTATCTTTAATACGAAGTCTTCAGAAGATTTTTGGCTAGCAATTGCAAAAGATTTCCAACAATTTCTGAAACTGCCATAAACTTTTACCTTTTTCTGCAACATATTAGTGAGAGACATTTTCATCTCTAACCACCATAAAATCAAAAGTGTCAATCAAAAAAGTTTAAAAAGCCCTGATTTATTACATGGTAAAAAGTGCATGCTTATGCAACTGAAGTATAATGGTTAGTGTAAAATATAACTTGGAGAGACATTTCATCAGTACGGTGTTTGCATAACATTTTCAAGAGAATGTTACATGAGTAATGAAATTCCAATTGCTATACTAAATCTCTCTCTGCTAGTACTTACAAAGAAAAAACTCAAAGTTATCCGTTATCCAGATACCCCAATGCAACTATTATTTTATGACTTTAATTGTAAATAGGTTACTTAAATTTAAATATCGCAAAGCCTCGAGGACTATCTGTGTAAGAGGAGGGATACCTTCGTAGAGGCCTTTCTAAGGGAAACTAGCTCATATTTATGTTACACATGGGGTAACCACAAAAACCAACCATGCAGCCAACCTGTTCGCCTGGGACGGAACCCAAGCCAGGTCGAACTACCAGTATTCAGTTGTCTTAACCACTCAACCACTGGTGGGGCTCTTAATTCTAAATAGAAAATTATACATTGCACTCCTGTAATACTCTTTTTAAATGAATCACATTTCAAGGAAAACAAGCTCTAAAGTTAATTCAATATTACAAATTTGAGAAAAATTCAACTTAACATTAGTATCCTGATCCTGTAAAAATGAACATTTTTTTTTTTAAAATTAAAAGGTCATGATGTTGTTGTGAATTATAAGACCTCATATGTAACATTGATATATTAAGTTTTAACTCACCTTTATGTAATCTTGCATGCATTCCCATAAAGCATCCAATACTTCTGGTATCACTCTTGACAATGTTTGTTTAGGTATTCTAAACAAATACTGTAAATTTGAATAGGAACACCCTGTAACATAATAAAAAACTTAAAAAATAAATTTATTAAAAATGATGTAGTGATATAATTATGATATTTATTCATTATAAATTTCTCAAAATTTAAAAAATTGTGGTTAAAATTATTGTTTGAATTTGTATTTCAATTTTTGTGAATTTGATTTATTAATTTTATAAAAATTAATTGATTTTTTTTCAATAAAATAAAAATTAACTTACCACCAGCTAGAAAGCGTAAAGTAACATGCAGCCTCTCAGATGGTGAAATTGCACAACGCATAATCGTATCCTGTTTTTTAATTTTGCTGCTCACTAAGTTTAATAAATAATCAAAATCGCACGGCATCATTCGCAAATACTTTCCAAATTCCACCCTGTCTTCAAAACGCAGCTCTTGGAACAGGGTATTATGGGCTCCATGAATTTCTCTGCGTTTCACCCAATTTCTCGTCCAAATACGCTTTCTTTTTTCTTCTTCTGCAGCAGCAGCAGCGAGGATCAAAATCGCAGATGTTGCTACAGTAGCAATTAACGGGAAATCTTCATCCATTTTTATTATTGTCGCCTAAATTCACTCCCGCACAGTTTTGTTTTCACAGTTGTTGATAGTGTGACGCTACATAGGGCGGGAATTCTTCCTCGGACAGTGATTGGTTAAGGCATTTCCTGTACCGACGACAAAATCGTTGCGTGTGGACAAGCAAGCTCTCGCAGATAAAATCGTACGAGAAAGTCGGCCGATAAAATCGGTACGTGTAGACGGACCTTGGTCACGATTTCGAATGAAATTTCGCCGATTGATGGCCGCCAGTCCCAACTCACCCTATAGAGAATGTCTGGGCTTGGGAGGCAATGCAACTCGCACCCCCTCCAAAAAATCCAGATGAAACAGCGTTGCGAATGGGTGGCAATTGCACATGCATTGATAAATGCCATTCCATATGACATCACGCTGCAAGGCCTGTATGGCTGTAAGAGGGGACCATACCCCTTATTAACTATTTCTTTTGCGTCTTCTGCAACCGCTGTTTCAGACCTTCAGACTCCCATGAGTGTTACACACGAACAACATGTGTGTCTATTATAACTGCTGAATATTTATTTTGTTTATATTATATCAACCTATGTTCACACCAAATTTTATTAAAATCTGTCCAGTAGTTCTGGAGATCGTAGATCAAATATGAAAATTCTTTTAATTTATTTCACCAGTGTAGATTGAATGCATAAGTCCGATAAAATGTTAATAAAATTTATTCTTATCAAAAGAAATATAAGAGCACGCTGGAATTTTCCTCAGAGAAATTCGCACAAGTGTTCACAATATCAGGCAGTAATAATCAGAAAAATACAAATATATTAAATAGAACGAAATTCGCAGCGCGATGTTGAGGGGGGCCAGACTTAAACGTAGGATTTTCTTGCGACACGGTCTTCATTTTAGTTTGGGTACCGGTTC